TCAGTGAGGCTGTTGGGGGGCAGCCCCCTGTACTCGGGAGCTGGAGAGGGCTCCTTTCTGCACGATCCTTGAGCACAAGGATGTGGTCACACTCTCTGCAAAGACACATCCCAGTGCTGCTTAGCAAGATGGCAATCATACCAACTCATGCACATTCCACTGAGATGAACTTTGGGGATCCTGAGCTCACCATCGCCAGAGCCTGGAGGGCTGCTCGGCTCAAGGGGCCTCCAGAAACACCTCCTGCTCCTGCTCCAGCCTGACACAGTCTCACGACGTGGCCTGCCTTGTCAAGCACCAACCCAGAACAAGCTCCAGCTCTTCTGCAGAGCTCCCTCCGGGTGGGGCATCCTCCCAGCCCTGCTGGGCACCCCTGGGGACAAGCCACTCAGTAGCACCCAGCCTCAGTCTCTGCACCTGGAAGAATGGGGGGCTGAGCTGAACGTCGTGAGAGCCCTTCAAAGACTCATCTTTCATGAACTCGATGTTCTAGAAAGTCCAGACGCAAAAGAAGCGCTTTCATTGGGGTAGGAAAAGAAGCTGCAGGAGCTCAGCAAAGCCGAGGTCCCAGGATCCGCAACCAGGACGATGATTCAGAAGTACAGCATGGGGCGTGGATGAGCCACGAGTCACAGGGCATGCCCCCCCAGCACGCCTCCAGCCGCAGAGCCCCTTCCCACACAGGCATCTGGTTTCTGTTACTGCTCTGCTGTTCCGAGTCACCAGTGTTGCCCACCCTTCTGGATCAGACAAAGGACACCTCGCTACCTCTCATCCCGGCAGCAGGTGCGCCCATTACAGCCCCTGCGTTCCGCGTGCTCAGCCAATATTCCAACAAACAGGATTGCTGTCTGTGTCGGGCCCTTAGCTGCCATCTGACCGACAGCAACAAGGTCAACCAGAATGGATTCCACAGAATTCTGCTCAGACCTGAAGGAAAAACATCTGGGTTCTACAACTGAGCTCGAACTTTTTGAGGAAAGGAGAAGAGCAGAGGGCCTGACAAGGGGTGGAGCTCGAGTGTCAGGAACAGGGTCCAACAGTGTGGGTGCGGGAGGGAGGTCCAGTCCCAGAGCCACAAAACCGTGGTGTCACTTTTCATTCAGGCTCTTTTACCCCCAAACACAAATACCAGACTAGGCAAGACGACTTTCTTTAAGAGAAGCGATCAATGGGGCGCCTGGGTGGCTCAGTCGTTAAGCGTCTGCCTTCGGCTCAGGTCATGATCCCGGGGTCCTGGGAACGAGCCCCACGTCGGGCTCCCTGCTCTGTGGGAAGCCTGCTTCTCCCTCTCCCACTCCCCCTGCTTGTGTTCCCTCTCTGTCTCTCTCTCAGTCAAATAAATAAATAAAATCTTTAAGAAAGAGGGAGAGAGAAGCGATCAAGTCTGTGCAAGTGTTGGCAGTGGAAAGCTGGCTTCTAGCAGAAGTGCCCAGAGGATCACGCCCTGGGTGCTGGGCACTCTGCTCGTCCCTTACGTCTCCACTCAGATCATGGACGGACGTGTAGCTTAACTCAAACTCACAAGCCTCACCGCTTCTCAAACGAATGGGTCCGTGCCCTCCTGTGGTTTAGGACGGTGCCTGAGGGCAGACTAAGACAGTCCAGCCGGGGATGTCTCCTCCCTACTCAGCCCCAGCAAGGACTGTCTGACCTCAGCAGGGGCAGCGTGGACTCCCCTAGCCTGCAAGATGGCACACCTGCTCCCCGCCCCCCTTTCCCCACACAGGCAAGAGGCCACAAGGGTGTGAGGAGCCGGCTGGGAGCCTACAGAGACCACCTTCACCTGAAGCCGTCCTGTGGTCCCAACACGTTCTTAAAAATCCCAGTACGTCAAGACCCAACTTTACAAAAATATAGGTATAGGGCGCCTGGGTGGCTCAGTTGGTTAAGCGATTGCCTTAGGCTCAGGTCATGATCCTGGAGTCCCGGGATCGAGGCCCGCATCGGGCTCCCTGCTTGGCGGGGAGTCAGCTTCTCCCTCTGACCCTCTTCCCTCTCGTGCTGTCTCTCTCTCATTCTCTCTCTAATAAATAAATAAAATCTTTAAAAATATATACATATATATAGGTATAAACATTTACTTTATAAAAGCCACACATTTTATTCTGGCTACAGAACTCTCTTTTTCACAAAACCTTTTAGGAACATGTATGGGACAAGCACCTGGGCCCTTCCCATACTGGCTTCTGAACTAGCAGCTACAGATCCACCTCATCGGGGGCCTGGGGCCATCTTGGGGTCGCACACAAAGGGGGAAGCCAGGGCCCCAAGGAGGACGAGAAGGAACACGGGCTTGGCCACAGCTTTATGGCAGCCTACCTGCGCCCTCGAGCTGTCACACAAGCGAACTGCTGTAACTCAGAAGTAAATTTCAACAGACGCTTTCGTGGAAGCTCTTGGCCTTTTGCTTGGAAAAATCACTCTTAAATGCTAACAGGCTCCGAATCACCACAAGTCAAGGTGGAGACACACAGAAGGGACAGGGCACGCAGCCTTGGATATCCGAGCATCTGTACTGAGCCCCCAAATGATCTGCAATAACCACCTGACACATTCCCTTGGAATGGAGCCCTTTCTCCTACAAATAGGACAACAATTTAAAAATACTCTTCTCGAAGAGGTAATAGATATTTAATGAAAACAAACTGACCTCCACTGGGATCACAATTCACACTTCCACACCCAGCCCCAGGGCCAGAGTGGAGGAATAATGACCACCAAAGCAGGCAGAAACCATCCTAGGCGAGCCTACAACCTCATGTCCTTGTCTTTGCAACTCAGAATAATCTAACAGAAGCGGTTCACCGTTGCCTTGGTAACCCAAGGGATTTAAGACATTAACAAAAGTACACAGCCGACATCACTTGTTGGATTCTAAAAACACCTTCTGCTTGACAACTGCATTTAAAACCTCAAACCCACAGGCCTGAGGAGCAAACATTCTTCACTGTGCAGATGGGCCCTCGAACCGTAAGGCCTCCAGCATCGCAGCCTGCTGGGCGGCTCACGGCACTCAAGCAGGTGCCCCAGGACAGGACTAGGGCACTGACCACCCCAGAAGGTTCCGCACAGGGCATCTGTCCTCAAGTCATTCGCCAGGGACTGCTGCTTCTCAAGAGTTTAGTCAGAGTTGGTGACAGATTACAAACAAAGTTTGGAGCATACAGAGTATACCTCTCCCTACCAACAGCTAACAGGGAGACAGGCAGGCGGCTTTTCTATCAGCTTGGAAACTTCACCTTCTTCTCAGCTCAGTTAAACTCCAAAAGCTGTGGGGTGCTGCCCGTCAGAGACATTTACAATGCCTGGACACACTTTTGGTTGTCAGCAAACTCGGGGATGGGTTGCTATTGGCATCTAGTGGATGGAGGTCAGGGATGCCGCCTCCATCCTAGAGTGCCCAGGACAGTCCCCGTGGCAGAGTCATCCAGCCCAAGGTTAAAAAACCATGGTTCAGCCAACTTGTACTAAACATACAGGGGTCTGGCCATGTGCTCGGGGCTGGGAACACATGGGAACAGAGAACGACAAGGAATAATACAGGGCTACGGTGCATCTCAGGGAGGCACTGCTTAATGGATACAGAGTTTCAGTTTGGGATGATGGAAACCTTTTGAAGATAAACAGTAATGATGGTTGCATAACAATGTGAATGTATTTAATGCCAATAAATTATATACTTAGAAACGGTTAAAAGAGCGAAGGTTATGGCATATGCATCTTACCACGATAATAAAAGCTACTATATTAACAGCAGAGAGGAGTCTGGGCTCATCCAGGGGCCCCACTCGCCCGGCCCAGGAAGCCTCTGGGCCGGGGGAGTGGGCAGGCGCCCCGCACCCGAGCACAAGATGCTTAGCATCCGTGACATTTTTCAGGACTATTACCCCAGTTTGCTGCGTTCACCTCAGCCCATTCCCATGTTCCAGATGATTGCTGACCTTCCTGGAGGGCCCTCCCCAGGACAAGAACTTATAAGATGCCTCCATCCTGCTCTGGACCAACTCTGTTCCACCAAATGCCTTTCCTCGTCCCTCCCCACCCCACTGCACCTGGGGCTGGAGGGAGCCGGGTCCCCAGTCTGCCTCGGAGAAGGGTTAGCACAGCCGTAAGTATTACGTGCTCAGCACCAGGAAGGACACCCGGTGTTTCGGTAAATGTCTAGTTTGTCATCCACTCGTCTGGGAGACAGACACAGAACTGTCATCCAGACCATGAGGACCAGATTCAGCAAAGCTAAGCATGGAGCCGCGCTGACCCTAACGTGGGGCCAGACGCGTGGTCGGGGTGGGGGGGGGCCCCGCTGTGCAGCAACACCCAGCAACTGCAAGAAAATGACACGTCCGCTTGAACCACCGGAGCCGCACTGGTTGGAAACGAGGGGACATCCCGCACTGCGAGGGGTGCTTTACCGCCAGAGGCCTTCGGGTCCCCCCAGGTCAAGATAGGCTCTTGGCCAGGGACAAAACACAGGCATGTGACAGTTTGCTCAACGTCCACAACAATGGCCAAAACCCACGTCTCCTGGAGAGAAAATCCGGGACTGAGGCCGTGCAACGGTGAGTGTCTGAGACTTCCCGCCTTCATGTCACCTCACTTCCCCCTTTTAACATTTTTAACGTTTCAGTCATTTAAAATGAAGATACCCTCACCAGTGTTTACGAAAGGCTCCCCTGTAAAAAGGGAAGCAGACCCTTCAAACTGACCCCACTTTTCCAGCTGCTGACCCCTCAGCTTTAAAGAAGCCCTACCCCAGGCGGCCCCTGTGTGCCAGTGACACGGGCATTGTACTGCTGGGGTCCCCAAAGTCCTACTCCCTGGGCTTGTACCAACCTACCGCGACCAGAGACGGCCCACGGGAAGGCACCGGCGTGGGCCTGGAATGCGCTGCTTCACCTACATAACTAACGGCCACAGGGCCACCGACGTGCAGCGCTTTGGGGCCGTGGTGGCCCAACAGGGTCTCAGCCCCTGCCCGTAAAAAACAAAAGGCTTACTTGAGTCTCGGCTGCTGAACGGCCACCCCGACGTCGGAAGGAAGGGGGCCACCGGGGAGCCGGCCCGGCTATCGTCCTCCACCTGCTGTGTGATATGCCGGACCGTCTCTTTGTTCTTCCGATTCTTCCTTCGACCTGTGGGCTGCCAGCCGTCGCCTCCAGCCTGCTCTGAGAAAGAGTTCTGTATCACACCATCCCTGGCGGAAGGCAGCTCACTCCCTCCGTAATGAGACGGCGAGATCTGCTCTTCCTTGACCCGCAGAGACCCGTAGCCCACATCCCCAGGCCACAGCGACTGAGAGGAAATGTCATCGGGACCGTCGGCCTTGGGCTCCTGGTCCTCCTTCCCGTAGCTGCTTCCTCCCTCGTGGCAGCTGGTGATGGCCGAGTCTCCGGAAGAATTGGCAGGACTCGTGCGCCGAGCCAACCACGGGGAGATGCTCCTTCCAGCCATCACAGCCGAGATCAGCGCGTCCGTGCTGCTGCCGGGTGGGGCACTAATCTCAAACTCCGAAAGCTCGTCCGAGGCATCTGGCTTGATGCTGATGTCCAGCGCGGCCTTGATGAAGTCGTGACAGGCCTGCACGATGTCCGTCATCTGCAGGAAGCTGGCCGCAGACATCACCTCGATGACATTCCTGCTGGTGAGGGCCAGATGGGCAGAGTACATGAAGTCAATGATGGCCTTGAAGCCCTGGGCCGTGACGATGTCCAGGTGTGTGACCGTGGCCTGGTCGGACGCCTTCTGCACCTGGCAGTAAAGCGTCTTAAAGTAGCGGCTGCTGCCGAGCAGGACGTTCTTGTGCGCCTTGAAGACCTTGCCCTCAACCACGACACAGACATCACAGAGGACGCCGTGCTGCCTCTGCTCATTGAGCTCACGGAGCAAGTGCCGGTAGTGGGACGCGATTTCCATGTCTTCCTTCCGGTTGTTCATTGGGAAGTCTTGGTGTTGCTGTTCTACAGACTCTGCAGGGGCAAGAACATGCGAGTTAGCCACGTGGTCAACACAGACACACCCGTGGAGGTTCGGCGGAGCGCACCCTCCTCGAGAGCCCGGCTGCCGTGCAGGGCCAGAGCCTGTGCCTCTGGCCGCCGGGCAGCCACTCAGGTGGACCTGAGCAGCGTCTGCAGTGAGTTCATGGGTTCAAGGCTGACCGCCGCCATAACCGGCTTCTGAACAGAACCCTACACACAGCGGCCGCCTCTCAGCACAGAAGGCAAACGCCCATTAGTTGCTGAAGTGACTTTCTTACCCAAATGTACAATCTAGGTGAAATAACCCAAGGGAGCCTCAACCCGCACCCTTGAGGACACATCTTTACAAATAAAACGGGCGCCTGGGTGGCTCAGTCGGTGAAGTGTCCAACTCGGTTTCAGCTCAGGTCATGATCTCAGGGTCCGGGGATGGCACCCTGCGTCAGGCTCTGTGCACAGCGGGGAGTTGGCTTCGCTCCCTCGGGGGGCGCCCCCTTCCCGCCGCCTCCCTGCTGGCTCTCTCTCTAAAATAAATAAATCTTTTTAAAAAATAAAAACAAAACAAAACAAGGGCTTCCTACACAAACAAAACCCACAGGGCAGAAAGACCTGGAAGCAGATATTACAGCCTCAGCCCTACAACCTTCCGAAACCCCAGCTCAAACCAGCTCAAGGGAGGAGGCCTCCAGGGCCGGAACCCCCTAGGCACCAGAGGTTCCAGCTTGGGAAGCACTCTGGTCTGGTGCCCTCCCGCGAGGCGCTCTCCTGATACCATTTCCTAATCTGTCTGCCATGTTCTCTCTGCTGCTACTGTTAGCTTCCGGGGGCTTCTAGAACACAGTGCCCCAGACTGGGCAGCCAAACAGAGAACTGGATTCCCACACAGCCCGGAGACCAAAGGCCCAGACGGGCTCCCTCCAGGGCTCCACGGAAGGCCGTGTCCAGGTCTGTCCTGTCTTCTGGGGGCGGCTGGCAGTCCCTGGCCATTCTTGGACGCAGAAGCATCACCACCCGGTCTCCATGTTCCCACACCTTCTCCCGGTGAGCCTGGGTCCCAGTGTCCCCTTCTTATAAGGACACAGGTCATACTGGACACCCTACTCCAGAACAACCTCATCGTAACTAATCACATCCAAATTAGATCACAGTCCAAGGCACTGGGCATGGAGGACACAGTCGCCCCATAACACTCCCTGAGAAAGACAAGGTTGTTAGAGGCTGATCTTCCCGCTTAAGTACACCATTTTCCAGCTGGTTAATCAAGCAGGAGCCCTCACCAAAATGCCAACGTGTGTTTAATGGGAGAGAACTATGCTTTTCAAATGTGGGGGCATCTGCCTCTTTCCCGTAAGGGGCGGCTCCCCAGGACTCGGCTGGGTCCACCTCACACACTTTTTTTTTTCCCTAAAGATTTTATTCACTCATTTGACAGAGAGAGAGAGACAGCAAGAGCAGGAACACAAGCAGGGGGAGGGGCAAAGGGAGAAGCAGGCTTCCCGCCAAGCATGGAGCCCGATTCGGAGCTCGATCCCAGGATCATGACCTGAGCTGAAGGCAAATGCTTAACAACTGAGCCACCCAGGCGCCCCAACCTCACACACTTCTTTATTGACTCAGAGCTGTCACAACGCACACACCTTCCTCTGGTCATTACAATAAGTTTCCAAACACCACCTGAAATCATCTTAAAAATGCCCTGTGAAGTAAAAGAGGAAGGAAAACTTCTAAACTCATTCTATGAGGCCAGCATTACCCCAATACCAAAACCAGGTAAAGACACTACAAAAGGAGAACTACAGGCCCAATAACCCTGATGAACAGAGATGAAACTACACCCCCACTAATACCAGCAAACCAAATCCAACAATACATTTTAAAAAAATCATTCACCACGATCAAGTGGGATTTATTTCTGAGTTGCAGGGTGCTTCAATATTCACAAATCAATCAACATGATACATCATATCAATAAGAGAAAGGATAAGAACCATATGATTATTTCAAGAGATACAGAAGAAGCATTTGACAAAGTATAACATCTACTCATGATAAAAACTCTCAGCAAGTAGGTCTAGGGCACCTGGGTGGCTCATATCGTTGGGCATCTGCCTTCGGCTCAGGTCATGATCCCGTGGTCCTGGGATCGAGCCCCCATCGGGCTCCCTGCTCAGCGGGAAGCCTGCTTCTCCCCTCTCCCACTCCCCCTGCTTGTGTTCCCTCTCTCACTGTGTCTCTCTCTGTCAAATAAATAAAATCTTTAAAAAAAAAAAAAAAGACAAGTAGGTTTAGAGGGAACATACGTCAACATAATAAAGACCTTCTATGAAAAACCCACAGCGAACGTCATACTCAATGGGGGGAAAATTGAGAGCTTTCCCCCTAAGGTCAGGAATGCGGCAGGGATGTCCACTATCACCACTGCTATTCAACATAGTATTAGAAGTCCTAGCCACAGCAGTCAGACAAGAAAAAGGGATAAAAAGTATCCAAATTGATAAGGAAGAAGTAAAATTTTCACTATTTGCAGATGACATGATGCTATATATAGAAAACCCTAAAGACTCCACCAAAAAACTACCAGAACTCATAAATGAATTCAGTAAGTTCATAGGACACAAAATCAATATGAGAAATCTGTTGCATTTGTATACACCAATAATGAAACAGCAGAAAAAGAAATTAAGAAAACAATCCTCTTTACAATTGCCGCCAAAAATAAAATGCCTACAAATAGTTAACCAAGGAGGTGAAAGACTTATACTCTGAAAACTATAAAACACTGATGAAAGAAACTGAACAGGGGGTGCCTGGGTGGCTCAGTCTGCATTCAGCTCAGGTCATGATCTTGGGTTCCTGGGATCGCGTCCCCATATCGGGCTCCCTGCTCAGCAGGGAGCCTGCTTCTCCCTCTCCCTCTGCCTCCTCCCCCTGCTCATGCTCTGGATATCTCTCTCTCTCTCAAATAAATAAATAAAATCTAAAAAAAAAAAAAAAGAAAGAAATTTAAGAGGACACAAAGAAATGGAAAGACGTTCCATGCTCATGGCTTGGAGGAACAAATATTATTAAGATGTCTATTCTACCCAAAGCAATCCACAGTTTTAATGCAACCCTATCAAAATACCAACAGCATTTTTCACAGATCTAGAAGAAACAAACTTAAAAATTTGGAACCACAAATGCCTCAAATAGCCAAAGCAGTCTTGAAAAAGAAAAGCAAAGCTTGAGGCATCACAATTCCGGACTTCCAGCTCTATTACAAAGCTGTCATCATCAAGACAGTATGGTACTGGCACAAAAATAGACACATAGATCAATGGAACAGAATAGAGCACCCAGAAATAAACCCACAATTATATGGTCAATTAATCTTCAACAAAGGAACAAGAATATGCAATGGGAGAAAGACAGTCTCTTCAACCTATGGTGTTGGGAAAGCTGGACAGCCACATGCAGAAGAATGAAACTGGACCACTTTCTTACACCATACATATAAATAAACTCAAAATGGACTAGGGACCTAAATGTGAGACCTAAAAGCATAAAGATCCTAGAAGAGAGCACAGGCAGTAATGTCTCTGACATCAGTCATAGCAACATTTTTCTAGATAGGTCCCTTGAGACAAGGGAAACAAAAGCAAACTAAACTATTGGGCTACATCAAGATAAAAAGCTTCTGCACAGCAATGTAAACAACCGACAAACTAAAAGACAACCTACTGAATGGGAGAAGATATTTGCAAACGACATATCCTATAAAAGATTAGTATCTAAATTACATAAAGAACTTATACAACTCAACACCCAAAAACCAAATAATCCAATTTAAAAATGGGCAGAAGACATGAACAGACTTTTCTCCAAAGAAGACATCCAAATGGCCAACAGACACATGAGAAGATGCTCCACATCGCTCATTCTCAGGGAAATGCAAATAAAAACCACGATGAGATACCACCTCACACCTGTCAGAATGGCTAAAGTCAACAACACAAGAAACAAAAGGTGTTGTCAAGGATGCAGAGAAAGGAACTCTCGTGCACTGTTGTTGGGAATGCAAACTGGTTCAGCTATTCTGGAAAACAGTATGGAGGGTCGTCAAAAGATTAAAAGTAGAAATACTGTATGATCCAGTAATTCCACTACTGGGTATTTATCCAAAGAATACAAAAACAGTAATTTGAAAGGATACATGCACTCCTGTGTTTATAGTAGCATTATTTACAATAGTCAAACTATGTAAGCAGCCTGTGTCCATCAATAGATAAAGTTATTTGTACATTAAAAAGAAATGGAGTCTAAACTAGGAGTCTGTTATGAAAATATTAAGGGTACATGGAATCTATCCAAGCCCAAAGAAGCTTTAGGAGAATAGCTGAATTTCCATTACAAAGTTGATAATCTCTCAGCACCAGTAAGGGGCTCCTGGGAGTCCCATCCACCTGACCACAGGTGTCGTGTCGTATAACGGCAGGTGAGGTACAGCCTTGAGATGGAAGCATGCTCACCATGGTTCCTCTCTGAGGGCAAGGTGAGCAGAGCACCTGCCCTGGTGGCATAGCCCACATCATGGAGACATACCTGGCTGCAGACACGCACCTGTAGACAGGTAACCTGTCATCTCTGAATTTTCTGTGCTGCTACATGGAGCACAGGGTACACTCACAAATTCAAGGGCCCGTGTGCGGCACCCTCCGTGTGTAAGGGGCCCTCTCAAAGAGGAGCCTGTGGTCCATGAAGAAACACAGATGCCAAGCATCGTAAGGTCAGGGTCTAAGGGCTGTTGCCTGTTGCCCAGAGGGCAAGTGGGGCGATCTGTCACCACCCTGGCACCTGAGGCTGCACAAAGGTGCTACAGAAACTCCTGCAAAGTTGCATCCTCTCCCTGCTGTTTTTCCCAAACTTGTGTCCTTACTTCTCCTCTAGGTTCCCCACTTACAGCTTGCTGATGGAGAGATACCGTATTAGACAGCATCACTTATAAA